AGACGGATGGAATTATTTCTTCCAACATTTACCGATCTGGTAAGCCTCTCAGTTGGATATGGCACACGCACGAAGTCGAAATACTTACTAACTCTACAAATAGACGATGCGCCACTGTACAAACGCGGCAATAGGTCTCTTCTCGGTATTGTTTGCATGAACTTGGTTCTTTACCCATTGGTGAAGGCTTACTATGTGTACCGGAACAAGAGACGTGACCGGATCTGGGAAGGTATGTCGGAAGAACAGAGACTTGCATACTTGGAAACAACAAAGGACGAAGGCAATAAGCGATTGGATTTCCGTTTCAGCCATTGAGAATACCATGTTCGCATATGTTCTGTAGATCTTCTCACGATCCTTTTGTTGAAGATGTCTTGAAACAAAGTGGCATAACCGCTCTTGATGAATCTCGCATATATACTAGAATACTTAGACGAACGGGAAATATCACATACGACACGCTTACAGATACGCCATTGGTGACCACGCGTAGCAGGTAATCAAAGAAGGGGATATCCCATAACTGCTGGGCTGGATGACGTTGGTACATACATTTCCAGTTTTCTCTAACAACGAAGTAATTCGGTTGGGTGCGTTGGGAGGGAATGGTGGGAATATCTTGGAGTATTGAGGAACAACAAAGGGTTAGTTTTACCTCTCAGTAACGATACGTACTTATGTATCGACGTCATTCAACAGTCGATGGGATGTTGCGCTGTCTTGGTCAAGTAGAGTTGTTTCTGACGGACATTTAATAATACAATGGATATCAAAGCCGCCCATGCTAGGCCTCAACAATTTCGTTGTCTCCCTTCACTGGAATCAGCCCAATCTTTTCAAACCAGCGTTGGATATACCCATTGACCTCCTCACTCTTGAGCTGGTGAAACCAATGACCGATACCCTCTACGAGATGTATCTCGTCGAACTCACTACTGGGAGACAAATAGCTTCTTTCCGTTGTGACCCAATATTCGCTGTTTCCCATAGTCAACCGTGGGCACTTAATCTTGCCATCGTGTTGAGCCGCGGAGACCTCTCGCCTCCCAATTGCTTCTGGGTCAACTTGGCATGCGTATGACTGAGCCAAGATGACGTTCATATCTCCGGCCAAACGACGTCTGCCTATCCAGGTCAAGTGCCAAGCAGGGACCGTAGGCGGATATAGAGCGGGACCAAAGAGCATGGCAAGGTTCTGCAAAGTTTGCAGAGGATCGGTGAGATACTTGTCCACTGTTTCACTTGGGATCGAGTGAAGCGGGTCAAGTATTACCATTGCCCGCGTCAAATCCGGCCTCACAGTTGCGAAGTGGTACGCCACGGCCGTGCCGAGAGAATGAGCAATGACGATGACAGAGGAGACATCGAGGTGCTGCAGAAGGGCGATAAAGTCCAAGGCAGCGGACTGCGGATAGTAGTCAATGACGGCGGAGTCAGCGTCCGGCCCAGGGTATGAATTGATGTCCGGAGTAGGTGCCGGGGCGGATGAACGTCCCTGTCCCCTGGGATCCGGAGTAATCACGCGGAAGCCATGCGTGAGAAGGAAGGGTACCTGCCAGTTCCAATCGTGGAGGTCGCAGGTGATGCCGGGAATGAGAAGCACAGCTTGTGCATCTTGCGGGCCCTCATCGAGGTAATAGATGGAGATGTTCTCGTTGCGCTTGAAATAGGGCATGATGTGAAAGAATGAAGACTGTATTATAGCGAAGTCTGTCGTGATAATTGGTCAAGAACACAAGATACCGCAGGGTCTGAAGTGAACATCTTGATTATACCTCAAAGAACCGCCGCATTTTATATGAGTGAGAAAATAAGCTCGATTTGGACAAATCTTCAATGAAGTCGGGTGAGGCCCGATTACTTCCGCTCGGGAGATTGAGGGTCAGGACTTATTGACCTCCTGACCAGAGTCTGACCGCTGTGCCCAATCATGAGATGGCGTTTTCACCAATGCGGCATTGCCCAGCCCGCCTCCATCAACGACGCCAGAAGACTCCCCAGCCCCGAAATATAAGATCGGCGACTGTCGGGGGGACTTCTACAGCAACACGGGAGAAGATCGATAGTGTATCCCCGTGAGTTCAAAGTAAAACTTGTACTATGCTTGACGCACCTTACCAAACAGCTGCTAGATTCCGCGCAGAGCTAAGGGATGTTTTCACGTCGTTTATTCGCACGGATCTAGACTAGGTAACACATATTGACAAAAGTACTGGTGTCAAAAGAATCTAGCGTCGCACGGCAACATAATTCATCAGGTTGTGAAAGTTTAGGACTAGGACCTGTAAATACACTTGACTTGTTGATATGAAAGATAGTTGGCAAATTTCATCTAAATAAAATTCTACATTTAGTCCTGTATACGTGACTGTAATTGGTGTTGATACTTGATTTTTGAAGCAAGTAGCGATTCTTCAGTTGGTTTGCACTGCTCAATTGTTGGGTGGAGAAAAAAAAAATTCGATAGATTTAGGAGGGCACCCTTGTTGAAACTTGTGGGCAACTTCTTCATTTCGACAATACACAACTGTGCCATCACCGGATTTCAGGCGACCTCTATTCCTCCGTCTTACAGGCCTTGGATGAGGCAGCACATCACGTGTCATCAAAATCGGTCTTTCCACTGCTTACCTTATGACAATCTCAAACGAACATAATCAGGGATGAGGTAGGAATCGAGTAAATCACCAATTCGCTTTCGACAGAACACTGTGAAATGAGAAAGCTTTAAGTCGGCGACCAGCCCTGACTCGTAGCATTGTATAGATCTTCAATATCTCGATTGGCTTCGAAGACCGAACTGATGCTCAAGTTTGGAGAGCCACCGAACCTGGAGCAATCCTTGTGGTTAGGGGTCTGAATCGAGGGTTCGTGCCAATCGAGCTCCCACATCGAACTAAAGTGCTCTCGAGGTGGGCACCTGAACCGGCTGCGAGCTGGGGTACTTCTGTCAATTCAAGTACACGAGAGTTCGAAAATGGTATCCGGGCCTAGTGCAGAGGTGGGAATGCAACGGACGCATTAGGGTCGGAGAAAGCTCCTTTCGAGGCAGCAGGCCGGCCGGCAGCTAATTGATGCTTCCCCGCTGCACGCTGCGAGGTCTGAGTAACGTGGCAAGCTACAAATCATTTTCGACTACTATCTATCGACTTTGACCGTCAGAGTCATGATCAAAAGGATGCACTTGTCATGGAGTTCCTTTTTCTCAATCTTGAATACTAATTCATCGGTGGATTCGTATGCCGAGAGTCACACAGCATGATAAGCGCAGACGGATCGGAAATCTGATTGCCGACCGCCGGAGATCGGGGTCAGTGTGGGTTGAGACTGCATAGAGGCCTGAACATCCGTTGCTTTTTGCGATCAGCTCCGCTACCACTTCCCGGTAGAGCGAGATGCAGTTGGGCGCCGTGCGACTCATCACATATCAGCCCTGCCAGCTATAGGTGCAGCGAAAGATTGTGGGTAGATACGCACCTTGGATGCAATGCAGGTCGATGGTTTTGAGTATTTGAGGAGATAAAGCACATGAATGGTCCTTGGCTCTCATGGGGATTCGGAAGTTGAGACGCAGTCGATCAATCCGATAATGACGTTGCTTGTATTCTGAGACGGTTTGGTCCACTAAACACGAATGTACAGAGGGGAACAACCATTCGATGACCGCAGGGAACTGGGACGCAAGAGTCTCAGTAATGGAATACGATTGACAGGGACGAGCGATGGAGATTCAGTCGAAAACGGACGTGTTTCCTCAAGGCTGAGGTTCATACCTGGGAACCTGTAACTCAGCGGTCAAGAATCGACAGTAAACTGGGACACGGAGGATTGGCCGTCCAGCGCGTGGGAAGAAGTGGCCCAGCAGGGCTAGAACAGTACTCGACTCGAGTCATCAACCTGATAACCGGGCACCTGGGAATGGATGATACCGGCTTGAACTGCCCTAACGAGACCCAATAAACGCCACCAGTTGTCCCACCAGCACTAAGGTACTCCGTACAAGGCACGTCTCACAGGCGAACAGTGACTGGTGTTCAAGGGAGCAATTCCTACAGGCTCCAGGGTAATGCTGCAGTCATCAATGGCAGAGGCGACGGCAAGAATGACTTGATTCCCCTCTCTCAATCTCAGTCTGGCAGGTGGACGGTGCCACAATTACGATCGTAGCGCAAGCGCTGTAGCGGTCCGTCGCCGTCCAGAAGAAATCGCAGGAGAAACCGCAGAAGAGGAATGTACCTTTCCCGTGTCCCTAGCCCGACGGTGCTTGTCCGCACTATTGTATAGCCTTGATCGATGTCCTCATCGGTGTCAATGAAAGCCAGGAACATGGAGGACATCACTTGCCCTTGCTAGCGTTCATAATCTTCTTCGAGATGCTCTGAGCGTTCGGTATGCGTTGTGTCTCAGGCCGACAAATTTCTGGGGCCTTCGTGACAGTCGCTCATAAGCCATGGACCCCTTCCGGATAATTTTCCTCGCGAGCTATCTAAACCTGCCGCGCCTGCTTCTTGGCCGGCCTCCTCCTGTTATCTACGCCAGTCCAGATGTCTCACGATCTCGTCAGGTCCCTTGAAACCAGCATACAGAGGATAGGAGGAACAGTACTCTGTAAGACAAACGCATTCCATCCTCCAAACCTTAATCCCTTGCACGAATGAGAAGCCTAGACCTCTGAGCGCACCCGGACGCACTTTTTCAGCAACCCCGCCTCCACACTCTTGACTCGGACAGACTTCCCGTTCACTAGGTTGACTGACGGGTGGTCCGATTCATGGGTCATCCAGGCTAGGGTAGCTTGAACTTCGGAGCCAGGGCCGCTAGAGATTACGACGCAAAGTCTCAACCAAAACATTGTCATTCTCTCACTCACCCTCATTCCAAACAGTTTCACAGAACTTGGCGAGGCTTCGAATTTCACGCGGACTAAGCTCAAAAGGCCCGAGTACGGCGGTAGCTTGAGTGCATACACTCAAGAAGGTCCTAGCCGTGCTGTTACGATGGGCACATCAAGCAATCCCGGAAGCCCTAGCAGGGGCCCTTCTGAGGGCTCGCGACGCGACGATGATGGTGAGCTGAATTGACTTTTCAATTTCGGGGATGGCCCTATAGAAGTTAAAACCTCGAAACAACAAATGATATCACAATTGTCGCGTCGGATCGCGTCTTATCAGAAGGATGGTAGTAACAAGAGACAGCAGCGTCAGCATCTGCCGCACCTACGGCTGGCGGTTCAAGCACGGAGCAGACGACGACGACGACAGTCTCCGATACAACGACGACATCAACCGATCCAATTCCAGCCCAATCAAGCATTTCCGGCCCTCCTGTACAAAGCTTCGCCGGGCCCTCCGCCGAACATCCCCTCGAGGCCGGCGGCACCGACGATGATGATGAATTTACTCCCAGCGTCTTTGACGGATCGTCAATAGCCGACGACAGGAGTCAAAGGACTGACTCAACCTCCCTGAACTCTAGCGTCTATGAGCATAGCTTTCAGCACGGCCGGCGTTACCATAAGTTCCGGCACGGACGGTACCCGATCCCCAACGACGAGACGGAGCAGAACCGCGAGGACATGTTGCATGCGATGATGCTGGAAGCCACGGATGGGAAGCTTTACTTTGCGCCTATCGGGGATAACCCACAGAAAATTATCGATCTCGGCACGGGAACTGGTATCTGGGCAATTGAGAGTGAGTAAAAATATCCGAATCTCTCTCTGAGAAACAAGAACACGCGGAAGAACACGCGGAAAGGATTTAGAACAGCTAACCGAGGAAATAGTGGGCGATTTGTTCCCAAGCGCGGAGATCCATGGCCTCGACTTGAGCCCCATCCAGCCCGTTTGGGTACCACCGAATGTCAAGTTCTTAGTAGATGATGTTGAGGATACTTGGTTGAACGGCACAAATTTTGATTTTGTCCACCTACGAAACATGGTGCCCGTTCTCAAGTCACCCGTTGGCCTGCTACGGAATGCATTCGAGTATGTTCTTTGGCTTCAAATCTCCACCTCTCCCGTACTTCGAATTAATCATACCGTGTAGGCACATGAAGCCCGGCGGCTGGGTCGAACTTCAGGATGTTGACGGCCAAGTTCACTGTGACGATGGCACGATGCCTTCTGACTGGCCCCTTGTCCGCTTCACGAACCATCTCGTAGAAGCATTCGCGAAGTTTGGGACAAATTCTCATGCCGCTGTGTTTGGACGGCAGTATTTGGAGCAGGCTGGATTCGTCAACATCCAACATCACACAGTGAAGTTACCGTACGGCACATGGCCCAGGGATAAGTAGGTGCCGTCAGAAAGTCCAAACATATGATTCGTGACGCACTAACAATCTCCTTTTCTCAGAATTATGCGACTAATTGGCATGTATTACCGTACCGCCTGCGAAGAATTCTTCCCAGTAGTAGGTGCAATCCACTTTCAGATGTTGGGATGGAGTAAGATCGAGATGGAAGTTCTCTTCGCCGAATGTCGGAATGCCATGAGAGACCCTAATGTACATGCCTACGGTATGATGCATTTCTGGAGTGGACAAAAGCCTTTGTGAACAAGGCACTGGGGGGTCGCAGAACGAAGAAAAAGACATCGGCTAGCACGGCGACTGGGTTGGAGAGGGATAGCAACGGAACGCAAAGTCGGGCTCATGAAAACCTGTTTGATTGCACGTATCCTCCTTCTTGACGGGAGTGTTTCGGTGAATACTTTTAAATCCTGAAACTCGACTAATCATCATGATTGGGATGCATTTCCATATTGACGAGTGCTTCAGCGCTCTGGTCTTTACGTTTCTGGGAAGTCGGGGCTGCCAACACATCATCATCAAGGATATGGCTGCACCGATTCGAGGCAATCAAGCCACGTCATTACTTGGCGATTTTCATTCGTTTAGAGGGCTTTGGCTGCAGGCGAGCCGCTGGGAATGCCAGCTAGGGATATTTATCATGCCACATGCTTCCTGATCAGGTGCGCATGGCCCCCATTTGATCTAAGGCTCAGGGACTAGCATCGAGCTGACTTTGTACCTCATATGTTCTAGGTCCGAAGACCGAGTTTCTCTTGCCGAGATGTTCCTTTCCATGCCCCTAACCCCTCCAGTCGGTATTTAGGTATGCGGCATGCCTAAAACGGAGCAGAACGCCCACATTCAGGATCTGAAGATTGTTACCGGCGCAGAATCCAGCCAGCTTAGATGTTGGAACTGGCACCGCCACAAAAGTAACAAAAGTCGCACTCTCAAGCCGGACACTGCCGGGGTTCTGCGGCGGTGCGGAACTAACGTTTGCCGGAAAGGGAACACGGGGTCCGGAGGCATTAGCTGTGATTGAACAGGTGCTTGTCGATAGTTTGCCATCTGAATCCTTCAACAATAACCAGCATGTTCTTATCGACCAAAGTCCCTTACGGATAGATTGAATTCATTACTTTGCATGTACCCCAGGCTCTCTCTGATTAGTCACTGAGTTCTCCAGAGTTTATCGCGACACAGTCCATATCGACTTCAGAGATGTAAAAGATGCCAATGATTTGGCATCACTGATATCAAAATGCGATACGAGATACCCTAAGAACCTAATTCTCTTGAATCTTGCCCCGCCGCTCCACTTCACAGAAATGAAAGACATTATCATTACTCAGATTGCATCTACGACGGCTCGGCATGATAAGCAAACAGTCTTGGTACCAGTAAGGGGCGGAAAATAGGAACTTTGGTGCAGGTTGGTCGGGAGGAGCCTTTGCTGACGTTGGATCTTTCGTCCAATATTTCACGGCCCAGCCCTACCTCCGAAAGTCTGACGTCGGATGTTTGTGGACTTTGGACGTATCAGCGCCATTATTTCACCCGAGGCGGATATGCGGCTTTCGATAGTCGACCCACGATCTACTGCACATCAGAATGACTTGAGTCCAGACGCGTATTCATCCACAGTTTTACCTCTTTCAGACAGTACTATCTACGTTTAGGAATCAAACAACCTTGCCAAGATCGCCCTTGACCAAGATTGCTGACGCCAAGCCAACAATTACCTATAATGGCAAAAGTATGTCACTACTTACTTTTGCTGGTATGACAGTCAGGATGAGAAGTTACTAAAGCTTGTCCTTGCCCGCCTAAAGTGCTCATCTTCATCAGATAGGTTCATCAGATCTAACTTTCGTTACTCAATTTATACGTTTGGTGGCGAAACAAGACATAGCCACAACTCTGGGCAGTCGTTGATAATTATACCATGGCGCCATTCATGGAATCAATTGCAGAAACGCCTGTAGGTCTCTCCCCGTAATGAATCCGAGAAATCATCTCTAATACGCGATTTTCTTGCAGCCAAATGGGCAATTGGGGTCAGCGGATGCTCCGCCAACTGCCATGGAGCCCATTGCGATTTGCGGCATGGCGTTGAGACTACCTGGTGGCATCGCAACTCCTGAAGAGTTCTGGCAATTCCTAGTGAATAAGAAAGATGCCCGATGCCAGATTCCTAAATCCAGGTTCAATGCATCCAGCTACTACTCTGATACCGGAAAACCTGGTCACATCAAGACCCAGCATGGATACTTCCTAGATGACTCCGTCGATCTTGGGGCGCTTGATACTACGTTTTTCCGAATGCCCAAAAACGAGGTTGAGAGAGCTGATCCTCAGCAAAGGCTACTACTCGAGCTGACTAGAGAGTGCCTGGAAAGTGCCGGTGAAGTTAATTATCGCGGCAAGACGATTGGGACTTTCGTTGGGTGCTTTGGTGAAGACTGGCTCGAGACTTTGACCAAGGATAGCGAAGTTGTTGGCCAGTACAAGATTACCGGCTACGGAGACTTCATGCTGTCTAATCGGCTTTCCTATGAGTACGACTTCAAAGGACCAAGTATGACCATCAGAACCGGCTGTTCCTCCGCCCTCATTGGGCTTCACGAGGCCTGCATGTCTATCCAGCACGGTCAGTGCAATGCCGCAATCGTTGCAGGATCCAATCTCATCTTGGCACCTGGGCTATACGTTAGCATGTCTGAGCAAGGAGTTCTCTCGCCGAACGGCTCATGCCGGACTTTTGATGCGGCTGCCGACGGCTATGCCCGAGGAGAAGCTGTCAATGTTGTCTATGTCAAACGACTGAGCGATGCCATTCGAGACGCCAATCCGATTCGTGCCGTTATTCGGGGAACATCATCCAACGCAGACGGCAAAACACCGAGCTTGACAATCCCGAGTTTCGAAAGTCACGAAGCGATGATCCGTCGTGCCTATAGCATGGCAGCGATTAGTGCATCGGATATTGCCCTGACAGGATTCGTGGAGTGTCATGGCACCGGTACTCCCGCGGGCGATCCCATCGAAACGAGAGCCATTGCAAAGGTGTTTGGTGACTCTGGAGTTCACATCGGTTCTTGTAAGCCCAACATTGGTCACTCAGAGGGCGCTTCCGGCATCACATCGCTCATCAAGTCCATCATGGCCTTAGAGCACAGGACTATTCCTCCTAATATCAAGTTTGACCATCCTAATCCGAAGATTCCGTTCGAGGAGAAGAATCTCACAGTTCCAGTTGAACCAATACCCTGGCCTGAAGACAGAATTGAGCGAGTATCTGTCAACTCTTTTGGAATCGGAGGTGCCAATGCACACGTCGTGATCGAGTCTGCGGCGAGCTTTCTTGGTCGCTTTGGACGCCCATCTGTTCCAAACTCAATGTCAAGCATTTGGGACCAGGCACAGTTCATGACATACTCTGCCAACACGGCCGATTCATTGAGACGACAAGTTGTCAACAATCAAAAGTATATCGCCGAACATCCGGATTCTCTCAACGATATAGCGTACACCCTCGCCACCCGCCGCAGTCACCTACCGCACCGGGCATTTTCAATCATGGGAAACGGGGTCGAGCTCAGTACGTCGACATTTGCGAAGTCACCCAGCACACCTGCGGATCTCGCTCTTGTATTCACTGGCCAAGGAGCTCAGTGGCCAGGCATGGCGCTAGAGCTGATGTTGAGCAACCGAGTATTCGCACAATCGATTCGGCATATGGACAAAGTCTTGAGTCTGCTTCCGGATGGGCCGTCATGGACTTTGATGGATGAGCTTCACAAGCCAAAAGAGTCGAGTCGTCTGCACGAAGCCTGTATCTCTCAGCCGCTTTGCACTGCTGTACAGATTGCCCTAGTAGATACCCTCCGAGCCACAGCGAGCATTAAACCGTTTGCTGTCATCGGCCACTCTTCTGGAGAGATGGCTGCTGCTTATGCTTGCGGAAAGCTGACATCGAACGAGGCGATTGCAGCGGCATACTACCGCGGAGTCGTCTCATCAGAAGTCACCAAGTCGGGTGCCATGGCTGCAGTAGGGATGGGTCGAATTGATGTAACTCCGTTCCTGCGACCAGGCGTCGGGATCGCTTGCGAGAACTCGCCTTCAAGTGTCACAATTTCTGGCGATACTCATCTCGTTGAGGCAGTTCTCACACAGATTCGGGCGGCAAAGCCCGAGGCCCTCGCTCGTCTACTCAAGGTCGATACCGCATACCATTCTCACCATATGCAGGAAGTGGGAGATCGATACCTCACTTTGACATCTCCTCATATTGACGCCTCAAAGTCTACGGCCACATCTTCTCCTACAATGTTCTCTTCAGTGACGGGCAGTCTCCTGCCTACGGGTTGGGTGGCTGATGCGCACTACTGGAGGTCAAACCTTGAATCTCCGGTGCTTTTCAACGCAGCTGTAACTGAGTTGATTGAAGCTCACAAGACTCATAGTAGCAATCACCTAGTGTTTCTCGAAGTTGGGCCACACTCCGCCTTGGCCGGTCCTTTACGGCAGATTCTTGCGCAATCCTCCATGAACTTATCCTACGCATCCTGTCTCGTGAGGGCAAAGAACGCGACAGAGTCTTTCTTGGCAGCTCTTGGACAACTCTGGCAACTCGGCATGGAAATTGACTTCAACCTTCTCACCAATCCCGAACAAACTGCCAATGTGGTAGCAGACATGCCCTCATATCCATGGCATCATGATCACTCGTTGCTCTTTTCAAGTCGCATTTCCGATGAGTGGCGGTACCGAAGGTTTCCAAAACACGAGATTCTCGGCATAAGGGTCCCGGAAAGCAGTCTCAATGAGCCGGTGTTTCGCAACATGTTGTCCTTGGACCATGTACCATGGATTTCCGACCACAACATCAAGGGCGACGTCATCTTTCCATGCGCAGGCTACATTGGTATGGCTGGGGAAGCTGCAAGGCAACTCAGCACGGAAAGCTTCGCCGGCTACTCCATGCGCAACATTGTCATTGACATGGCAATGGTCTTGAGTGCGAATAAAGCAACAGAAGTCATTACGAGCCTCCGGAAAGAGAAGCTTACAGACAGCCTCGATAGTCCTTGGTGGGAGTTCACAGTCACCTCCTTCAATGGCTCCACTTGGATGAAGCATTGCAGCGGGCAAGTCAAAGCTCTTGAAGACAAGGCTCAAGCCTTGAAGAGACCTCTTCGGGACCTTCCGCGCGATGTCAACTCTGGCAGATGGTACCAAGCTCTTCGCAATGTCGGCGC